CTAAACGTTGTGATAGGGATAGAAACATGCGATTTTTGGTTTTACGAAGGTAATACGATAGAGAATAACACAAAGTAATAAAAATCACCGGTTATAGGGGCATTTTTTGGAGAAATTTATCAAATAACCAAAAAAACACGAATTTCAAAGCAGATTTTTTATTTTTTATTATTTGTTGGCCTTTTTTGTGTATTTTATGTATTTTTTTAGTATCGCCTGTTATTTAACATTATTACTGTTTATATTTTATCAGGATAAACCGCTTAGTTTAAAAGTTATTACTTATTACGTTTTCTTTACAATAAGTAATTGGAAGAAAAAAAATCTATAAAAAATTAAAAAAAAATCTCAAAAATATTTTGACCTCTTTTTTGTCGATAAAAATAGGTCTACTTTCATCTATTTTCATATGTACACTTTAACGTGACTCACACTGTATATGTCACACACAGTGTGAGTCACGTTAAAGTGTACATATGAAAATAGATGAAACTAGACCTATTTTTATCGACAAAAAAGAGGTCAAAAAATTTTTGAGATTTTTTTTTAATTTTTTATAGAATTTTTTTTCTTCCATTTACTTATTGTAAAGAAAACGTAATAACTTTTAAACTAAGCGGTATATCCTGATAAAATAAAAACAGTAATAATGCTAAATAACAGGCGATACTAAAATAATACATAAAATACACAAAAAATGCCAACAAATAATAAAAAAAGATACTTTTTGAAAAAAATCTGCTTAAAAATTCGTGTTTTTTTGGTTATTTGATTAATTTCTCCAAAAATGCCCCTATAACCGGTGGTTTTTATTACTTTCTATTATTCTCTATCGTATTATCTTTGTAAAACCAAAAANTAATACGATAGAGAATAATAGAAAGTAATAAAAACTACCGGTTATAGGGGCATTTTTTGGAGAAATTTATCAAATAACCAAAAAACACGAATTTTTAAGCTGATTTTTTTCAAAAAGTATCATTTTTTATTATTTGTTGGCCTTTTTTGTGTATTTTATGTATTTTTTTAGTATCGCCTGTTATTTAGCATTATTACTGTTTTTATTTTATCAGGATATACCGCTTAGTTTAAAAGTTATTACGTTTTCTTTACAATAAGTAATTGGAAGAAAAAAAATTCTATAAAAAATTAAAAAAAAATCTCAAAAATTTTTTGACCTCTTTTTTGTCGATAAAAATAGGTTTAGTTTCATCTATTTTCATATGTACACTTTAACGTGACTCACACTGTATAATTGTTGCAATTCACGAGGGCGAATCTGTTACTTGTCGGTTGTTATTTTATTATTTCGAAAAAGGAGTAGGCCTGTTGTCATACACCGGGCACATTGTGAGGCAGAAATTTTAATATTATTCTCGCTATTTAATTTAAATCTACATTATGCAATAATTCAAATTATAACAAAAACAAAATTCAATAAAACATCAATTTTTTTAGTTTACCATTTGATATTTTTTGAAACTATATTGTCTATAAAAATTTNGCTTCGAGAAAAGGATGGTACGGCCGTGCCGCTATTTTGCTCGACTTGGTGGGGGCACTGCCGTGCCCCCAGATTTGACACAGAACTAGCTAAAAGAAGCTTAAACTTGTTGAACGTGCATATTAAATACTTGCAACATTTATTTGCGTCAAACCATGTTTTTATGATGTTTTTAAGACGAAGGTCATGACCTGGACTTCTTTTACTAAAATGACAAACATCTTAGCTGGTAAAGTAGGCCCAACCCTTCAAAACTAAGCATGCTGGTTAATTTTAAAATAAGGTACATAGAAGGCACATAAAATTATGAGTTATTGTATGTATAAAAATAATAAATAGAAATAACACATTATCATCTGGCATACTACAAAGTCATTTATTTACTGCAAAGAGGTTTTTATCAATTCGAAATTTTTTTTCTTAATAGAACTTTTATCAACCAAATACGTAGGATATCCCAGTGCTTAACTTGACGTGCTGTAGTCTATATTTTACTGTAAAAGCCCATAAACCCATATAATATTACGAGTACCTACATTATGTACCTATATGTAGGTATGTAATACGATTTGAATTGATGAATTTTTCAGACGCTACCCACTGATCAATCATTGGGGCAGGCCTATGTTTAGCAGTGGACGTTCTGTGACTGAAATGATGATGTTCATAAAATTAGAAAGATAAAGAAAGATACATTTATTACGATGGACATCATACAAATACAGGCGTACAATGTATAGGCTTATGCTTATGCCTAACATAGCTATGGAATTGCCTGTTATAAAGTGCCACTTGTGGTTTAAACTGAATAAATATTTTTGATTTTGATTTTTTGATTTTCTTATCACCTGCTGTCTGCTGCCTGTTATCATTGCCTGTTGCCACTGTTATCAGTGGCACATAAAATAATAAGGAAGAAAAATGAGCAGTGCCACCTACTCATAATCTGGATGGCCACTGCAACGGGACCCCACTCAGTATAATATTATGACATGGCCTTGGACGAATAAACCACGCCATGGCCCACGGTGACGAAGGCCACGACGAAGAGGCCTGTTTTCAGTGTGCCATGTCGAGTGAGGACCACGGACAATTTATAAAATAAATATTATAGTTAGAGTATTAGGTCGTATAGACCCCGATAATGCTTACGAGAGGTTGGTCATTTGCATTTCTAGTCACTAGTATTTACTATAAGTACTACCAAATATGGCAAGCACTTCATCCAGGGTATTCAACGTAAAATACAGTGATCATCCGCCAAGGTAAGCAGACTTGTTTTTAAAATGTGTATTGGTCTTATGTCGTATGGTCCCGGTAAAGAGATCTTAGGCCCACTTAAATATTCATCCCATGGTCCCAAAGACGTCGTAAAAAACAAGGGACAATTTTATTATGCTAAATCCATCAACCTGCGTATAGCGTAAAAGGCATAACCAAATTCGTTATTTGCTGCTGTAAAAAACGTGTTAATGATTTATTCGTTTTCTTATAAAGAAGTGGAATAAAAAATTAGAAAAAAAATTGCTACTTAGAAGTACAATAGAAGTGATGAAAATATATTCCATCAACAGCTAGTAGCTAATGCTCTTTCATAGTTTTTTTTTTCATTGTTTACGCAAATTAATTACATGTCATTGCTAATTACAGCTCAATTAATCTATATATACAGTGTGAGTCACGTTAAAGTGTACATATGAAAATAGATGAAACTAGACCTATTTTTATCGACAAAAAAGAGGTAAAAAAATTTTTGAGATTTTTTTTTAATTTTTTATAGATTTTTTTTTCTTCCAATTACTTATTGTAAAGAAAACGTTATAACTTTTAAACTAAGCGGTATATCCTGATAAAATAAAAACAATAATAATGCTAAATAACAGGCGATATTAAAAAAATACATGAAATACACAAAAAAGGCCAACAAATAATAAAAAATGATTTTTTTTTTAAAAATCTGCTTTAAAATTCGTGTTTTTTTGGTTATTTGATAAATTTCTCCAAAAAATGCCCCTATAACAGGTGATTTTTATTACTTTGTTTTTTTCTCTNAAAAATATGTAGGTAATCTAACTATTAAAAAGTTATGCACCCCTTCTATTCCAAATGAACATGACATTGGGTTTGTTTACATTTGGTATCGCTTCTCGTTGGCCGCACTTTAGTACGAGTAGAATATTTAATTTGACACAGAACTAGCTAAAAGAAGCTTACACTTGTTGAACGTGCATATTAAATACTTGCAACATTTATTTGCGTCAAACCATGTTTTTATGATGTTTTTAAGACGAAGGTCAAGGCCTGGACTTCTTTTACTAAAATGACAAAAATCTTAGCTGGTATGGTAGGCCCAACCCTTCAAAACTAAGCATGCTGGTTAATTTTAAAATAAGGTACATAGAAGGCACATAAAATTATGAGTTATTGTATGTATAAAAATACTTAATAAATAGAAATAACACATTATTATATACTGTATACTACAAATCGTAAAGGTAACAGGGAAGCGCTGGACGCAGGCCGCTACCAATCGATCAACGTGGAAAGCATTGAGGGAGGCCTATGTTCAGCAGTGGACGTCCTATGGCTGAAATGATAATGACGATGATGACTGTATGTGTACTACAAATAAAGTCATTTATTTTCTGCAAAGAGGTTTTTATCAATTCAACACGATTTTTTTTCTTAATAGAACCTATAACAACCAATTACCTAGGATATCCCACTGCTTAGCTTGACGTGCTGTAGGTAGTCTATATTTTACTGTAAGAGCCCATAATCCTATATAATTATTACGAGTACCTACCTACATCATCACTACATACTCGTAGTATAAAACAAAATCGCTTTCAGCTGTCCTACCTTATGCATGCTTAAATCTTTAGAACCACGCAACGGATTATGATGCGGTTTTTTTAATAGATAGAGTGACTTAAGAAGAAGGTTTATAGGTATTAAACATGCATAAATAGAGAGAAAAGCCGGGAAATTCCATTGCAACCATGTGAAGCGGAGGCGATTTGAACTGCCAAATTTTCAGACACTACCCACTGGTCAATATTTAAATCATTGGGACAGGCCTATGTTCAGCAGTGGACGTTCTGAGACTGAAATGATGATGATGAATATTTATTACGATGGACATCACACAAATACAGGCAATTACGTATGTATAGGCATAACAGTGGCACAAAATAATAATAAGGAAGAAAAACAAAAACAAGAGTTAACTGAGCAGTGCCACCTACTCACAATGAGGATGGCCACTGCAACGGGGCCCCACTCAGCATATGCCGTGGCCCACGGTGACAAAGGCCACGACGCTTGTTTTCAGTGTGCCCCATGCCGAGTGAGGGTCACTGACTATTTATAAAATAAATATAGTTAGAATAGGTCGTATAGACCCCCATAATGCTTACGAGAGGTTGGTCATTTGCATTTCTAGTCACTAGTATTTACTATAAATACTACCAAATATGTCAAGCACTTCATCCAGGGTATTCAACGTAAAATACGGTGATCATCCGCCAAGGTAAGCAGACTTGTTTTTAAAATGTGTATTGGTCTTAAGTCGTATGGTCCCGGTAAAGAGATCTTAGGCCCACTTATATTCAACCCATGGTCCCATGGACGTCGTAAAAAACAAGGGACAGTTTTATTATGCGAAATCCATCAACCTGCGTATAGCGTAAAGGCATAACCAAATTCGTTATTTGCTGCTGTAAAAAACGTGTTAATGATTTATTCGTTTGCTTATAAAAAAGTGGAATAAAAAATTGGAAAAAATTGCTACTTAGAAGTACAATAGAAGTGATGAAAATATATTCCATCAACAGCTGTTGATCAACATGAAAAAAACTATGAAAAGAGCATTAGCTACTAGCTGTAGCTAATGCTCTTTTCATAGTTTTTTTTTTCATTGTTTACGCAAATTAATTACATGTCATTGCTAATTAAAACTCAATTAATTTAACAATAAATTAAATTGTTAGTGAAATGTGATTTATATTTAATTTTTATCTCATATCAAAGAGAAGCTGCAATTTGACATGCATTTTATGTACATAAAATGTAATTAACAACACATTACATTATGTTATGTTATGTAGTAAATGCTTACTTTATGGGCAGTGTCACTTTTCAGTAAGATTATCTTTTAAAAAAAATAATTTCCCACTAACTAGGTAATTCCTACTAAGACCTTTCTATCAACATTGGGATGGACTGTCAATTTTCTAGCATTGTACATAATCGTGAAGTAATTTTTAATTTAAATTTTCTCCATCCTGATCATAGCATTCATGGCTGATCTGAAAACATACTCTATGGTTTTTTCAGTTAAAAACAAAATGAAAAACGGCACCATGAATAAACCATCTGAAGTGGAAGTCAAGCCTTCTTTGGAACGTGAATTTACCTCTAAGGAAATAGACCAAGAGACCCAAACCAAGATTAGTGTCTACGATCAACTAAGGCCTAAAAACGAGGGCCCGTTCATGTCAGCTGTGAGAGAATTGGAAAAGAAGGCTGGCTTCGAGACTCCAATAGTGTACTTCAACATACTAGTGCTAGTAATGTTCCATGTCCTAATACTAGTGTCAGCGTATCTCATATTTATCGACCGTCGATATTATCCGAAACGGCAGACTTTTATTTTTTGTAAGTATTTTGTATAATTAAGTACTAACATACATACTCATATCCATGTAGATGTACGCAAATGGCAAACTCAGAAGAGTTTGCCATTTGCGTACATCACTTTAAAGAATTTATCCATATAGTAGTTCGTTCGACGGACATCTGTATCTTTTATAACATTTTTGCAGTAAGTTTTTTTAATCCTCTCTAATGGACATGGCGCACAATTTTTGTTGAAGATGCCAAAAAAAACTACAAAAAATTAGAATGAATACTGTATTTTTACTTTTTTGATATCTTTAAGAANCGTCGGTCCACCTAGTAGGAGGCCTGCCCACGCTACGTCTTCCAGCCCGTGGTCGCCACTCGAGAACTTTTCTGCCCCAACGGCCATCGTCTCTACGAGCTATGTGCCCCGCCCACTGCCACTTGGTTTTAGCAATTCTGCGAGCTATGTCGGTCACTTTGGTTCTCCTGCGGATCTCCTCATTTCTGATTCGATCACGCAGGGAAACTCCAAGCATGGCCCGCTCCATCGCCCTTTGGGTGACCTTGAGCCTTCTTATGAGGCCCATAGTAAGCGTCCACGTTTCGGATCCATAAATCAACACTGGCAGCACACACTGCTCGAAGACTTTTGTCTTGAGACACTGCGGTATTTCGGACGTGAGTATATTTGCGTAGCTTCCCGAACGCTGCCCAGCCGAGTTGGATTCGACGATTGACCTCTTTCTCGAAGTTGGCCCTACCTAACTGGACTGTTTGTCCCAGGTATACATAATTGTCAACAACTTCGAGTGTAGAGTCTCCAACCTTCAAAGGAGTGGGTGCGACACGGACTAGCTACATACATACTCATATCCTTCTGAGTTTACCATTTGCGTACATCACTTTAAAGAATTTATCCATATAGTAGTTCGTTCGACGGACATCTGTATCTTTTATAACATTTTTGCAGTAAGTTTTTTTAATCCTCTCTAATTGGATCTAGAGATAAAGATGTAATTTTTTGACGAAATGATGACAATAATCGCAGCAGTGCGTGATTTTTTTAAATAGTTAATTTAATATACACTCGGCATCAAATAAATCGCACCTCCCGCGACAAGCCAACATTGGTACCATTTGAAAGCCTAGTTTTAAACTTCATTTCATTAAAGGAAAGGTTTTGACCCCAAAAATGTGTCTTTACAAGGATCCAGAGTCACTTCTTCAAAAAATAGGTAGTTCCGCTATAGCCATTTTTTATGACTATAAAACTGTTAAGTTGGGATTAATCGCTATCCATCTGTTAAAGAGGACACGTGAGATCTTTATTTGGTTTTATAACCATAAAAATTGGTCTAATTGGTCCCAGAGGTGAGCCCAAAGTGAGGTCTATTTTCAAGTCACATTTATGGTATATGTTAATTATTTATTAAGAAATGAAATGTATTTTTATTTAAGGATATTTATTGGGCTTTCAAATAACACCAATAGGTATTGTTGGGGTACCATGATTGTGTCAGAAGAAAATCTTTAAAGTTCGCGTCGCGGAAGGTGCGGTTTATTTGATGTTGAGTGTAGTTTATAGTCCCGTTAGCATCTCATGGTAAGCTTTTCTTATGCTTGCATCACGAGTGGACTCACCACAATAGACGAGCAGCGGAGGGATTCAAACCCGCGTTCCTCGGATCTCGAGTCAACCAGTCCGACCCCTTCAACGTTCGGCTATTGTGGCTTCAATATTGTTATTAGGTATATTTTATCAATCGTATATTTTATTACTATTTCAGTGTTCTCATTAACGTTGCTGACTACCTTTGGGGTGACGGCCGGCGCTCACCGTCTCTGGAGCCACCGCGCGTACAAAGCGAAGATTCCTTTACAAATCATGCTACTTATAGGTTTCTTAACCGCTGGAATGGTAAGTGCCCGTCGCTGGTAATTTTGAATGTTTTGCTAGACTAAAGTGTACTCTAAATTCCCTTATCTTAAGACAATTTAACGAAAATACAAAATAGTATGTTACATCACTTGCAAACTTACTAATAATAAAATTCTGTGCGTAAAAGAAGTGCATGAAACGCAATTTAAAATACAAAATAACTACTTAATAGGTTACCTATACCAATATCTACCTATTATAGGTAGATATTGTTATTATTATACGATGTATTTCTGCTACACACACGTTAACAATACAAATAATATATTCTTTAGTCGATGGATAAACAAAAAACCTATGTTTAATAAAGATGTTATTTGCATATTGCTACTACTACTCGCGTCTCGCAGCTATGTTTGTTTCTCTAAAGACTCATTCATGACCGAACAGTAAAATACCTAATAGTTAAATGTAGGTAATTTCAACTAATACAAGGTGATTTTGTAATCAGTGTCTTTTTCAACTTCAACTTATAAGAGGAGCGACTCAATTGTTTTTTTTTTCATATCTATTTATTTTTCAAATTCAATCAATTCAAATTGGTACACGTGGATAATTTGCTTCGTTCATAAAAAAATTCGTACACACAGTTAACTGCAAACCTTAATAGACATAATGGTGCGCGAAAATAAGCCTTAACTTTTAAAAATAAGATTTTAACCCGCGAATTAGATTTTCAAAGATTTTTTTTTTTAGAAAGATACCACGATTAAAAATAATTAAGATAAAGTTATATTGTTAAATTGTTCTATAAAGCTTATTAAAAAAATACGTATACTGATTGCAAAGTCACCCCGTACCTATACTATTTCGATTTTATTAGAACGACCTGTACAACTGGGTGCGCGACCACCGCGTGCACCACAAGTTCTCCGAGACGTCTGCCGACCCCCATAACGCCACCAGAGGTTTCTTCTTCTCCCACGTCGGCTGGATGATGACGAAGCAGCACCCTGATGTCCTCCGCGAAGCTGTTAAAGTAGACATGAGTGACATTGAAGGCAACCCCCTAATCCGGTTTCATGTAAGGTGAGTTATTGATGAAAATATTTATTTCATTTCTACGGAGACCCACAGAATTAAAACTCGGAAATGCAATTGGCCATTTTAAACTTATTGAAAAAATCTCTCGCTAAGCTCAAGATTCTAGTTTTAAATTCCGTGCAAAGCAAGGGATGTGTTAGCTCCCCTGACATAAGACACTGCTTTATGCCCTTGGTGTTGCACAAAAAGTTAAAAACCAGCCATAGGTAAAAGTTAAGGAAAAAAATACAAAATTGACTCTATCTCCTAAACTAAGCAAAATCGTAGAACATACAGGGGGGTGATTTAGATAGGTATATCTTGATGTAAGGAATCTAAATTTTAGCGTTGAACGTCCTGGCCACCCTGTATAAGTATTTTCAGATTTAGATATATATTTATTTATTCTTTCAGGCACTTCAAGATACTGAAACTTTTGTTTGCCCTCGTCTTACCGGTCCTGATCCCGGTTGTGTTTTGGGACGAACGCATATCCGTGGCGTTCCTTGCGCTGGTCCTTAAGCATGCGTACATCCTTCACACCATGTGGTCTGTCAACAGCTTTGCTCATCTGTACGGAAATCGGCCCTATAACAGGTTAGTAGCGAAGAATCGAAGTCTACGATGGGGTTACAAAAGTCTATCTTTATTGGACTCTGCCAATAATAAAATTAAGATTAACTGCGCAACTGGCGGCCGTGACGTCACATCGCTCTGGTACGGACGGGGCGAACGCGGGAAGAAGTGCGATGAAAAGCGGTGTGCGCAGTTAACTTACCGGGTAGATTATGACCAGAAAGAAAAAATATTCACAAAAATTTCAATCAATTTTTTTTTTTTAAAACTGATACGTCCATTACTATTATATTTGCCAAAGTTAACCAAAATCTTTATTTCAGCAAAATAAATCCTCGCGAAAACTGGGTGTTATCCGTATTTTCCATTGGCGAAGGCTGGCACAACTACCACCACACGTTCCCGTGGGACTACAAGGCGGCCGAGCTGGCCTTCCCTTTCAACGGAACCACGAATCTGCTGGATTTGTTCGCCAAAGTTGGCTGGGCCTACGATAGGAAGATGGCGTCACCAGCCCTGATAAAAAACGTTGCGGAGTCCAAAGGAGACTCGCCTTACAATGAGATATGAAGGAATGAGGGAAGGTGAAGGAAGGATCCTTGTCAACAGATAAATGTTCATCATTCATCATCATTTCAGCCACAGGACGTCCACTGCTGAACATAGGCCTCCCCCAATGCTTTCCATGTTGATCGATTGGTAGCGGCCTGCGTCCAACCATCCATTGCCGATACTCGCCAACCCGCCTGCCAAGCGTGGCGAGTATCGGCAATGATCCCCCCAATGAGGAACACAACAGATAAATGTTATTTAGTTTTAATTATTTGAAGTTATCAATAGTACATACCTACATAATAAATTCATGTTTATCTATTTGCAATCCGAACAAAATCTGATGACTTCTCATCAAATATATTTTTTTGATTAATTTTAATTAAAGAATGAGAAATAACTTTATTGACACAGTATTATCAATATTTAACAGTTGCAGAACAAAGCCAATGATCTGTTTTCTTTGTTTATAAAAATGTTATCGTTGGTTTAATTTTATTGTTAATATTACGTTGTTATATTGTGATTGTTAATAATACGTTGTTATATTGTTATTGTTCATATTAAGTTGTTATATTGTTATTGTTAATATTACGTTGTTATATTGCTATTGTTACCGTTTTTATTCTTAAATTGTTGTTGATAATGTTGTTATTATAGATGGCGTTGGTTGGTTATTTAAGAAACGTGGTTAATGCTAATATTCTTCTATGCCTTCTTCTTCTAAATAAATATATGATGATTATTTATTTGGTTATTCATTTCTGTATACATATGGTAACACTGTACGAAGTAAAACTGAAGAAGATATGTAATCAACGTTTCCTATGATCATAACAGGTTATGCATAAATTGCAAGGGAGCCAATGAGCGTGACCGCTCAACGGTGCTTGTATCGCGACGCCCTCGGTCTACGGCGACGCACGCGCACCTAATGAGCACGCAGCCAGAACGTGCCAGAATTCTGACAAAGTCTTTTTAAATATCATAATGATCGTCAGATAATTTAGTATCCACTACATGAGTATAGGTGAGGTTTTGACCTACACTCTAACGCTGGGGAGGCTTTACTCTGATAGAGTCTGACTAGTAATCTGGTGGTAAACGTAAAAAAAAAGTATGAATTCGAGATAAATTCACCTTTACCATATTAGGCACGTTAAATGTATATCATTGCGCTTGCGCATCTATAGAAAATACCTAAATCAAATTTAATTACCAATTAGAACGTATTGTATTTTAAATAAACTGAAATATCAAGAGTTCCAAACCGTACACTAAACTATTGACACGCCTTATAATTGTCAGCCCACTTTTACAAAGCTACCTTTAAATTAAAGTAACCGTTACATACAAACGGAGGCGTTTGTTACTGAGTGACCAAATCTCCTCGATTAAAGGGATATTCGAGGTATAAAAAGCCGATTAGACACGCAACTGTTAATAGCACTCCTAAAGCGTATAGTTGCTTTATATGCCTCTTCTCTTGAAGCGATCATTTCCATTACCATGAGATGTTACGTTTTTAAACGTAATAATGAATGAATTGAATTTCTGACCAAGCATATCTGATACAAGCATATTCGCTTAGGTACTGCAGAGACTGCTAAGTATTTAAAATTGTAATTTTGTGTCATTTTTTGGAAATAGATACATTTTTACTTTTTTTTTTAACACATTTGAGTTACAAGTATTAGAATCTGATACTCCAGCTGCTGGATGAAAGCTGCTCTACCAATCTTTCAATGTCTATGTTCAGAAGTGGAATGAAGTAGTTAATAATAATGATGATCGCCAGAAGTGCCAGAACAGGTTCCCGGAGAAAAGAACGAATCTGACAAATGACGTCTCTACTATTTCGAGATAGTGATGAGATCTCAATCCACCACTGAAAATTAAGTATCTTTCGCAAGTGAACGGTTGCGTGTGAGTGGAGAATAACTTGTAAGAAGCTTCCACACTCTCGTTCTCCGCATTTGGTATGCACGTCGTCACAAGCGGTTACCCTAGCCCAGTGGTTCCCAACCAGGTGGTCCGCGATTTCCGCGAACCACTGGTAAGTAGTTCAGTCCACAGAAGTCCAATTTAAATATTCATTTCGTGAACTATGAGTAATCATATAAATCCTAGGATGACCGAACTTGTAATAGGAGATGCAAGCTCAAAAATCTTCTTTAAACTTTTTGTTACATTGAGCTTTGAGTTAAATGTTATTTTGGATTGGTTTAGTCACAAAAACTTCAGAATCTCGGTCAGGGCAGGAACCTAATGAAAAGGGCCTTAAGCGAATAACAACGCCCCGTTATGCAAATAATAAATCAAAATTAAAACTGTCACGAAACCGTCACGGCTGGTCCAAAAAAGGTTGGAAACCACTGCTACGAGACTTCGGTGGCATATGGGCGTCACGCTCCGCGCGCCGTCCGGCGTCGGGGTTGGTTGAGCGCAAATATTAATACAAATCATGATACCAACGAACTTTGTTACACTCTTTTGTCTTTACGTTTGAGTAAGCTGGAGTCAGACTTGCGTTGCGGAAAGCCGAACAAATTATAACGTATAATTAAATTACTTTTTCATGCGCTCTGATACTTATTATGGGAGAAATCTTTTGTAAGTCATGAAAATGTACCTATTAGGTGCTGCAGACTAAATTTAAAATCTCTTAAATGGAAGTAGACTTATTTATTCGTCATGGAACAAGTAGTAGGTAGGTCTTTAACATAATACACGGCAAAGTCCCGTGCATATTGCCCTCAATTTCACAGGAACTTCGAAAGCTGGCAAGAAAGAAATCTTTACTATTTCCTCGGATACTTATTTTCTGTGTTAGGTCTCTACTCTTAATGTGGTAGTCTCGGTAGGTAGATATTTGTAATAGTTTAAGACCTTATCACTGTACCATATTTCAAGAAATAAATCATTTATATTATTATAGTCTCTACTAAGAATTTTTGTCGCCTTTTCTAAACTGAAATCCTACACAAATTTTAGACTTTTGTAAGTTCAATCTCAACCAAAAATCATAATTGTCATTTATAAAGCCTTCTTTCAAAATTTTTGCGTGCACAAGAACTCTATCTGATTCTGAACCTTAGAATCAAGGCTATTCTGTCCTGAATTGTACGTTGCACCTACATTATCTTATACATATTAATATTTAATTTCCTTTTTACTGGATATTTAGTGAATTAGTGATCCACTTTTTAAACAATTGAAGGAACAAATATCCATCAAGGACAAACTTTGCACAGTATTATGCACTTACTGTCCACTTCGATAAGTGTTATGTAAAACGCTTTAGTTATGGGGGTGCGAACGACAATCCACTCGGCAGTCGCGAGTCGCCACCTAACCGCGGCGCACCTGTCGTGTTGTCTGTGGTAACCGCAACGGGTGTAGGAAGTGCAGTGACTGTTCCGAACGAATTCAAATTCGAACTGTTCGATTTTGTGTGACTGACATTTATTTTGGTGTGGCATTTGTTTTTTTGGCGGTAAGTTTTTTGTAGTTTTAATATTACGTGCCAGTGTATTTTGTTGTAAACAAAAAAGTGCGAGCTTTCGAAAGAGTATTTTTACGAATAATATGAAACTTTACATTGTCATAGTCTTATTAGTTTGTTAACCAATTGTTTCAAAGAATCCAGAACTAAAATAATGGCTCTAATTTAACTCATTTTAATAATGAATTATGTAAGTAAGTACGAGTAAGTTGAGGTATGTCTTTAAATTCATGAAATTAATATCTGAAACGACAAGTTGAAACTATGAAAAGTGTACTCGTACCTATAAATCGAGCATGATAGTGTTAATTGGGGCACTGTGATTCATCAGTTAAATGAAATTTTGTTGATCTATCCCACGTTCGTCAAGCTTAACTCGGCTTTCAAATAAAATTTAAGGGCCATCGTAACTGATTCGTCGTATTTCTACGCTAGTCACCGGTAACTGTTACTGAACAGTGCGAATTGATGTTCCAACCTGTATTTGTCAAACTTCAGTTCATTCCAAAATGAACTCCAGACAGCCGCAGAGTATATAAAAAAATGAGTGTATTTTTTTAGCCTATTCATAAGCTGAAGAGCCTATGTTTGATTCTCAGGTGTCCATGAATTTTCAGGTGAACATAAATTTCATTCTGAAGTATCAGGATGTGATGTTCGGGATTAATCTGATTATCCTGAAAAGTAATATGACTCTTGAGCATGAAACATTGTAAATACAAATTACCTACATTGAAGCTGAGCTTTATAGTAAAATCCGCCACAACAATTTTCACATCTATGCACAAAAAATAACTATTCCACGAGCAGTCTCAGTTTTTATTTTTCTAATATGAAAACTATTATTGTTACAAAAAGCAAGCAGTTCCTTTCAAAAGGCCATTCGCAAGTATCTGTCTGGCAAATGTCGACCATAAAGTGACCCACAAGCCCGTTTGCCCCGACTATACAGAAAACAGATTGATAATCTCCGAGATTAAAATTGTAAATGAACCTTGCGTTTGAGCGGTCGAGAGCGGCGCCCGCGCAAATTAGCCGGGCAAGTAGATCGTGACAGATCACGATTAATGGGCCAAAAAATTTTACTTTTAGGTTCATCTGCGTTTGTTTACGAATGAAATTGTACATGATGACCTTTTCTGATGTTTCTAAAAAGGTGGGCACAGCGTTTTTTTCGTAAATGCTTAATATTAATATTGAAGAGAGCGTTGAACCTAATCACCGTTACAAGTGTGCTACTATGTAGTAAAAGAAAGCTCTTAAAATATTTTAACATAGGTATTATCAAACTTTTCCGACAGTTTTCCTAAACCCTTCCGAGAAAATTTGTTGGAGGATTAAAAATTCAATAATTGAATTCCTCCTTTTCTCATCCTAAATTGTAGCTAATAACACATCCTATGACATGACATCAGGTGCCTCATCGACTGGGGAACAAAACCGCACCTGCACTCCATGTTCAAGCCATCCAAGAATCCCCACCTGGCCAGATTGTACTACGGCCAACCTGCGTCCGAAGTCTATTTAAAGACTTCCAGGTAAGCCAGGGGAGCTCATGTCCAGGTGGAGGACTCTCAGACATGCCCTCTCTCTGATGTCATGCCCTGAGTGCCCAAGCAACTGCACTCAGGAGGATTTGATGAGTGCTACTGACAACGCCACTCTTGTGGCGGAGTTTTGGGCTGACACTGTGTAGGTTTGTTGTCGACACGAAAAGAAGAAGACACATCCTAGTCAGAAAATTAACATATCGACTAAACATACCAAAAAAAAGTAAACAGATGAGGAGAATCGAAAGAATACACTACAGAGACACAAATTGCAAAATCAAATAACTCTCATTTTGGTATTATTGCCCAACATGTAACAAAACAGAAAAGTTTAAGACCATTCCCATAATTTCATTGTAAAATTGTTCGCTTATCCGTGAATCTTAATTCTATCTCGTCATTTCTTCATAATTGGCTACTCTGTGAAGATGCTATGCAATATCTGAATACTTCTGAGAGGAGCAGTAAAGATCTTCCAACAAACTGAAGCCAGGAGGACGAATAACATTAAACAAATATCCAACGTTTGCATTGTAAAATCCCAGTTGGATTAAGGTTTTCACATTTTAGAATTGTCAATACTTTTTATTCATGAAGAATTGTAGATAGAAGTCAATCCTATTTTCAACTAATTATGAATTTAACCAGTTCGTAGGTAGCAATACCTTACCGAAATACAGCTCATCCTAAATAGACGTGAATCATGAATCAATCTTCTTTTAATCTGATCTCAAATCGGTGGTTGTGCTGTTTCCTACAAGCTTTGTTATTTGGTCCTTAATGTCAAATTCGATTTTCATCATTACCATGTACTTACTACTTACTTTATCAGAAGCATTTTGTATCCATCTTTCAAATTTTCATTCAAGAATTCCCATCTAAAAAAACACATTACAATTTACTTGATCGATTACACGAACCATATTTAACCCGAGGTTCCCGGGATCTTAGAAATCGATCAATACGATTGTCAAGTTCTCGCAGCATGAAATCGTGGGAACGGTTAGTTAAAACAATGGCTGATGGGATGATTGGTATCACACTAGAAATCAGATTGGTGTCAGCTCCTACCCATTGTGCAATTAACCATATCATTAATGGAGATTATGAGAAATATCATTAACAAAGTAACTTAAACGCTGTTTTGCTAAACGCTCCCGATCAACTGGATTTTCCAGTTGTTTTGAAGGGAAATCTCTATAATCCATTGACGAATGCTGCTTATGATATTGATTAAAATCCTCTATGCACATTATAGTGCCTTCTTATGTGTTTTAATATGCACTATATTAAATTCTACTTATACTCAAAAAGACAATTGTAAAATCGCGTACCAACTTATAAAGACAGCCTGCATGAGATTACCAGTTCGAATCTCGCAGGTGACTAATGCTAGTGATGAGCATGAGGGTAGATAAACCTGAAATGTATCATTATACAAGTACATCTTTTTCGGTATGTTTAGCTGTGTTCTAATCGCTATGCGCTCTACTTACAATTAATTTGGAGCTAAGTAATTTGTCCTTATTAGAAATACCTAATACTTATTATTTTTGTAATAACATTCCCATTATAACAATTGTTACAAAGAAAATTCAGAGACAAATGCAAAAAACATCTGAGACTACATTAAGTTTTTACGTTGTATCCAATTTAAAATATATTTGTGAGTATAATAAAGAGAAAAGTCTTTGAATATTTTGTCGGATGATCCAAAAAACTATCAGACCGACTTCACTTTCACTGTTTGTTTAAAGAAAATGGTGTAAATCTAAAATAACGGTACTTAGTAGTAGTTAGATCTGTCGTAACGGGATAATTAGCACTTATATTTTTGAACATAAGGAACCGTCATTTATATGAAAAAACATCCAGTAGAGGGGTAAGCTCACACAGAATCGACATAAAAATCAAAATAAAAAGAAATGTAAGGTTAATGCAAAAGTGTTTGTAGGACATCAAGGTTCATATCATATTTTCAGGGTTTTATTAAATCAGTTTATTAGTATTCTTCTGAAAAAATTACAATATTTTAGATACCTTCTATAACAATTATGTATAAAGTTTATTGCTCCATCTCTGTAGCTGTTTATGAGTCATAAAATCAATTCATAGAAAGTCTATCTTAGTTCAGTTAACAGTTTCTATTACTAGAGGCTTTAATGTTAGAAATGATGAGCCTGTTAGGCCTTGTTGTTATGTGGCAGATACTGACAAACGCTACAAATGATCTCTAGGGTTCCGTGCAAGTTTTGAAAAACAGATCAATCATAACTACATGGCTGAAGTTCTCAGTAAATAGAAAAAATCCTCAGTCTGTACTGATGTAATTAAGAAACATAAAAAGGATGTGTTTAAAAATGTGAAATAATTAACAACATCACCTTACTAAATAAAGCATACTGTGATCACATAAAAAGAACAACCAACCAAGTGGAACGATCATCCGAGGAACAAAAAAACCAATAAAACAATAGAAATAAACTACAACTTCGGACAATTGCACAATATCGCGAAATGGAAAGCACTCGATTCCAAATAGTTACTCCAAATCCAAAATCACTTGCGTGCGCGCAGCCGATTGACCCCCATTAGGCCTAAAAGGTTGGATAACTCGTTACGTCACCACATGACAACGGCATAAAGAGTAAGCTGTAAAGACCTTCCGTCAATTGTTACTAGCACTTTTACTACTGAAGACTTTCTCACATTTCTTCTGAGCGTGCATCGGTAGCCAGAATAATTGCTTTTATGGTGCTTTGTGACGTTGTTGATACTTATCTGGAGCTATAATAGGAGAGACCTGCACCCAAAATAGAGTTTAGGAAGCACAATAGGTAGGCCTGACACTCGGTGGACCGACGATCTTGCAACCGACAGCGGGAAACTTGGATTCGGGCAGCGTAGAAACGGTCGTTGTAGATATCATTAGGGGAGGACTTTGTCCAGCTATGGAATTGTCATTTGGTTGAAACCTCAGCAGCAATAATCACTTTTTAGCCTTTTAACTAATGATTGCTCTTTTACTTTTGTTTCCCTCCTTTTCTCTTCTTTGACTTTGTAATAATAAAGCTATTAATTACAACCTTGGTTAAACAACTTGTTATACGAGTACTAAAAAGGTTCCTTGTTGTCCAGGTGACGGCATATTAGTCATCAAAACACTATGGCATCCTAAATGTACTTGTAATAGGTGTGATTTTTCAACTAAAAAGTTGGATGTACTTGCAAAAAACACCCTAAAAGTATCCACAGCCAGCCGACACCGGATACGTTTGCAGGATGAGTGGTTTCATCCAGGGGGCACGGTCGGGCGCCCGACACGCTGGTTGCGCGCGCGCAAATGGTAACGTAGGTAAATGAACCGCCATAGTGGCACAGTGACGCCATTAGGGAGTAACGTTAGTTCTTGGTACACGGTAAATGGAGGTTAGTTAATCG